CAAGCGGTCCCTTTCTTTCTATCACTCTCCGTCTTTCTCTCCTCATCTCTTGTCCCCTGTGTCACAGGAGTGTGTGTGTTCCAGCTGACCTGATGCTGAAATGTGTGAGTGCTAGCCTACTTACACAGTCCTCGGTGTTCTCACAGGTCAGGTGCTGCTAGCACAGATACACTAGTTTTAAAACTTGTTCTTCAGAGGCTCTCACTGGGTCACTCTAATTGGATTACAGAGATGGAGGGACCTTAAACCCCATCACAAACACATAACTCTTGATTTCACCTCCAGAAGACAGTACAGGGCTTGAGGACTCACCTGATAGACCAGCAACAAGCTCCTTCAAAGGCACTTCATGTACTGTACTTCTTTAGTCATCTTGCAAACATGACACTCAACAAATGATTTTTCTTATACATGCTTGTTGTTAAGACTAGAGAAGAGTGTCTCAAATGATGTGAATCAAGTAGAAAGAGCAAAAGAACAAAAACAGACTCATAAGTGCATAAAAAGTGCCTTACTTAAAAACAACTCGTGAAACCTCTTGATAAACATGTGACAGAGAGCAACATCAGAGGGAAAAGGTTTGAGCTCAGAGACACGTTTACAGTATCTTCATTGCTCTGTGATTGTCATTAACACCTGTGTGTCATTGTCCTGAGAAACAAGGTGCTGGTAACAGTTGCCCTTAAATGCGCTGAGTGATGCTAACAATCTCAGATTTGTCTTTGACCTCTGACCTTGTCAGCAGAACTATTTCCAGTTCAGTTTCCAGAGAGTTCAATTAGATGATTGGCTCTCAGAGGATTCCGGCGTGTCCCAATGAGCCAATCAACGATGACGAAAATTGCGTCCTGTTGAGATTATTACACTGCACTTTTCAGCCAAAATTCCCTCCGGAAAGCCCTGCGAAGTAAATAAGAAAGTGAGCAGTCAAGGTACACGCAAATACATTGTGTATCTGTCTAAAAAACTTTTGCTCTGGCCATGAAGAACCTTGAACATCCATGAAGTCTTTGCAGTCCACAATATACTCTTAAAAATAAAGGGGTTTTGTAACGATGCAATAACAACCCAAAGAACCTTTCAGAAATCAGTTCTTAAAATAACAATTTTTTCTTAGTGTGAAAAATAGTTTAATAATCTAAAGAACTTTTTTCCACTATAAAGAACCTTTACTGTGCAATCGAAGGTTAAATGGATATTAAAGGTTCTTCATGGAAACATTGATGCCAATAAAGAACCTTTCACCGGCGTGTCCCAATGAGCCAATCAACGATGACGAAAATTGCGTCCTGTTGAGATTATTACACTGCACTTTTCAGCCAAAATTCCCTCCGGAAAGCCCTGCGAAGTAAATAAGAAAGTGAGCAGTCAAGGTACACGCAAATACATTGTGTATCTGTCCAAAAAACTTTTGCTCTGGCCATGAAGAACCTTGAACATCCATGAAGTCTTTGCAGTCCACAATATACTCTTAAAAATAAAGGGGTTTCGTAACGATGCAATAACAACCCAAAGAACCTTTCAGAAATCAGTTCTTAAAATAACCATTTTTTCTTAGTGTGAAAAATAGTTTAATAATCTAAAGAACTTTTTTCCACTATAAAGAACCTTTACTGTGCAATCGAAGGTTAAATGGATGTTAAAGGTTCTTCATGGAAACATTGATGCCAATAAAGAACCTTTCATTTTTAAGGGTGTGGTGGGAAAACGTTCTTTAGATTATTAAAACGTTCTTTACAATGAGAAACAAAATGTTTCTTTTAAGAACGGTTCACTTTGGGGAACCAAAAATTGTTCTTATGCATTGCTGTGAAACCTTTCTTTTTAAGCAGCATTTTAAAGGTACGTCAGACACAACATCTTTTCCAAATGGATGTCAAATACCTTGTTTTAACTCAATTTTCAGGCAGAATGAACGACATACATCCTTCTTCAATAAGCTTAGTGAAGAAAATCCAAGATGGTGGACCAAGTAAGAAAAACAGTCTAAATATAATTTCATTTAGTAGTGAAAGGTGTTGTTAAAAACAGTATAATTCAGTATAATTCAAAATGGGCTATTGTGCTCAATATTTGTGTGTGCTGTGCATTGTTTATGTCTTTTAGAGTGTTGCACTGTTAACTTAGCAACATGCTAATGTCAAACTCCATTGAAATCAATTGATTCGTGTCACACAGAGTTGCTGCCCAGCATTCCAAATCAGTCACTTATTACAGTTAGGTTCCCTTAAAAGCTAGCTACCTATGTAGGCAGCTCATTTCTTCATATGATTTATGTTGTTTGCGTTGCTTTTTTTAAAGATGTCAAATTAAACACCCAAATGTGTATGAATTTTAAGTCACAATGCTTTTTGATCAATAATTGTTTAATTTAAGAAGTGATATACTTTGAAGTTGTAAGAAAGCAAAGATGGGCTTACCTTTATCTGTGCCTTCAGCTCAGAATAGCATTATTCTGTTGAAGAAAATATGCATTAGTTGATATACATACACATACATGCATACATACAGGGTGAAAACTTCAGGGTAGTAACCTAATGTTAGTGTAATCTGTTAACAATGCACATCATACCCGTCTTTTATGCAAGTACCAGATAATAGGTGTCATGTCATAAAATATTTTTAATATGACCACATTTGTATTTAACATGATCACAATTGAATAAAAACATTGTAAGTTAGGCCAGTTAATTGTAACAATTTAATTTCCACGGTTATTCAAAAAGAGAATAGCCTATAAGAACATTTAGGCTACATTGTCAAAGAAAAGACTTTAAGAACTCTAAAAAAACTCCCCCATTATAAACACTGACGCTGTCAATACACTGTATGATGATGAATCTCTTACTTACATCATACGCACATCTGCACATCTGTGTTTTTATAGTATTATTCATATACTATATTTGTTGTTATTTTGAACAAACTTGTATTTCTATATGTTTTAGTAATTAAGTAGCTAAATTTTAAGTAATTTTTACTTTATTTGCACTGCTTTCTCACTTATTTTTTTTTCTAACATTTAAAAAAAAAAATTCTATATAGCTTTAATTAGTTTCAAAAAGTATTTCAAAAAAATTTTTTTCATTTAATAATTATATTTCATTTTATTTCAGCTTTATTTCAATTACTGAAAATGATTTTGACAATTTCGTTTTAGTTACCAGTAACAACACTGATGTGTTTCCCCCCACATACAAACCCTTAGCTTTGTTAGCACTCTTTTTGGTACTCCGCACTTTCCGCTTTCCCTGCGGAGAGATGTTTCTCCAATTAACACATCCCAGAGCCTCCAGGAACAACTCACCCAACACACACACACACACACACACACACACACGTCCACAGTCCTAAATATAATTCATTGCTTTAATTTAAGATTTTTTATTTTTTTTTATTTTTTAGAAATCTCCATGTCTCCATTAATTCTTTACATGAGACCAGAGTGAATTGAGGAAATTGGTTTTCATTGTGTGAGTAATAAGTTACAGGAAGAGGAGGCTGATTATTAGGACACTGAAGAAACTTCATCCTGATTGCATTCACACTCACACTTCCTCTAGCCTACTTTCTCTTTTAAAATGTGTGTGTCTCATTGGATTAACAAGGTAAGGAGAGAAAAAGGTACAAAATTCATAAGTAGGTCTATTTTCGACTTAGAACATCATGCCACTGTTCTGGTTTAAGACAGCATCAAATGAACACTAAAAAGACGTGTCCCGAGATTTGAACACTAGTATGTGTCCTGGATATTAATTTTGCTCTGACTATTACTACACTGACAACAATGACATCATCATAAAATATTCATTCTGGATTGGGATTTTTTTTTTTTTTTTTTTTTTTTACATCTATACAGTTAATTTTAATTACTTTTGTTTCTTGCATCTATTTAACCTTCATTAGGCATCTGTTTTCTGTTTTGATTGTCTGACACTGACTGTAAAAAAAAGGCGTTTACATTTTCTTTCATTAGCTAAAACCTAATCAATACAAATCACCACGCTCTCCCAGCTGAATTAGGTGCCACGACCTATATTTCTTCAAACATAACAAAAGGTCTGCACTCTAAAGTCTTTTATTTGAATCAAAGCAGGGGATAACAAACATTTCAGCTATCTGTCTTCGTCAGTGTAACAATTCTTTGTTTCTCGATGATTATATAACAAACGACATACATCAGGTGATTATAATTAACCAATCCACAGACTCCACCTTAACATCATCAAAAATTAATTAATGGGAACAATACCACATCAGGCAAAAATGCCGTTCATAAACATAGTACCCCAAAAAAAATAATAATACAGAAAACATGAAAGGTCAAAATCCTAATTTCAACCCAAAGGTGACAGATTGTCTTTAAGTAAAACATCCCAAAATGTCTCTTTTTCTAAGAGTTTTTTTTTAAGTATCTCCACCACGGCAAGAAACGTTCACTACTTGAATGCCAATACTGTACATGTTAAGTTGTTCTATATCATGGTTACAATCAATAAAATGTCTGCCGAACGGAGAAGTGTCATAGACGCCATGTCTATGAATAGCTGATTTATGTTCACTTACTCTAATTCTTGATGACTTTGATGTCTTTTCTTTCCAATATACATCAATGGAAAAGAGCATTGAAGCAAATAAATAAAATTTTTAGTAAAACATATTATACAGGATTTTAATCTGATACACTTTTTTGTGGAAAGACATGTAAATTTTTACACTGTAACACAGAAGAACATGATGTACAATTCCGAAATATCATTGCATACAACATCTGATCTAACTAACATATTTGCCAAATTTTTAGTTCTTTTATAAGTGAACATCTGAGGATATTTGAAAACATCTTTTAATAATGGATCTGAAGTTAAGATAAAAGCCTAAAAAAAAAAAAAAAAAAAACTGAAACCCTGTTTTTTTGCTGTCTTGCAAGCACCAGTTTTTAATTCTGGACATGCATGTTTGTTTGTTTTTTACAGAAGACACCTTTGGAAGTGCATGTATCACTGGGTCTGTTTCTCACCTTTTTGTGTGGAGGGTGTTTGTCCGGTGGCCACGTTGCTGAGGTCTGCAGGCAAGCCCACATACACTCCACCATAGTTCCTCCTCTTCTCATCGTCCATTGATGAATCGTCCTGCCTGTGGGCCCACAACCAGAACAGAACCAAGAGATGATCCAATGGGCTGATGTAAGAGGCAAAAAGCACAACTTAGAAAAGTTTGTTGCTTTATTATCCATATTACTGTAAAAGTCAACCCTGTGGAATTTTAAAAAAATTTTTTAAAAAAGGAACTTAAATTAAAAAAAAAACCAAAAAAAAAAAAAAAAAAAAACTGAAACCCTGTTATTTTGCTGTCTTGCAAGCACCAGTTTTTAATTCTGGACATGCATGTTTGTTTGTTTTTTACAGAAGACACCTTTGGAAGTGCATGTATCACTGGGTCTGTTTCTCACCTTTTTGTGTGGAGGGTGTTTGTCCGGTGGCCACGTTGCTGAGGTCTGCAGGCAAGCCCACATACACTCCACCATAGTTCCTCCTCTTCTCATCGTCCATTGATGAATCGTCCTGCCTGTGGGCCCACAACCAGAACAGAACCAAGAGATGATCCAATGGGCTGATGTAAGAGGCAAAAAGCACAACTTAGAAAAGTTTGTTGCTTTATTATCCATATTACTGTAAAAGTCTCAATAGCAACAAACCTTTTAGCAGCCCTGGAGTATAAATGATTGCATTTGACTGAACAAATTTTGAGTATCATATCTGGCAAACTGTGTGGTCCATTAAGTCTTGAGGGGTCATGCATCAAATTAGGAGTTTGGAGAGGTTATCCTACAGAGAACCTTGATTAGAAGCTCTGATAATTGATTAGCAGAGCTTTTAGTATGGCAAGTCTAACATTGTTCTCAAAAGACTTGTGAACATGGTGTTTCAGTGATGGTGTTTTTGTGGTGAGTGTGTTTTTTTAGTGGCAGTCAAGGACTTGATATGTGCACGCGAGACTCTGTCCTGCTGTGTGGGTGCTTGTTGTTCAGATGTGAGAGAATAATTCCAGGAACTGTTTGGAAAATGACAGGCAGTGTTCAAAACCCCACAATGTTTTTTTCTAAGGGAAATTGATTGACAAGCAGTTCCAAAAACTGAAGGACACTGCGAGGATTACCAGTATCTTCCCTCCTGGTTATATATTCTCTCTTTCTGAAGTCAGAGCCTTTGAAAAAAAAAATGACGAGACTTCAGAAAAAAATGAATCCACCGCAAACGTACAAAAATTTGTCATCACAATACCAGCGTTACCTAATACCAGTATATTGTTATGTGAGTATTGTTACTTTTATGTGTAATATTGTTAATGTAATAATATAATATAATAACTGTAATTAATATAATTGTTAAAGTTTAACCATCATATTTCTGTGCATCTGTGCATACAGTACATGCACATACATTTTTTTTTTATTATGTGAAAACTATAGGTGCCACGGTATATTTTTACTGTCCTGGTAATACTCACACATCTATGGCTGACTCAGATGGACCTGTGGAAATAAACAAACACACAAATTAGGCATGCTATATGTTCCTTGATCATTATATACAGTATACAGTATACACACGGAGTCATTTTAAAAGAACATATTTATTGCTCTCTTGAATCTGATTCATCTGCTTAACTGACATTTCCACTTGCTTGAAAGAAAACGGATTGATTAAAAGTGGATTGATTAAAAATCAGTGCAAGTAATTATGTAGTTATTGTGTTATTACAATGTAATAAAGATATAGGGAAAGTGTTGTTGGGCAGATTTGTCATTCGCTGATTCGTGAGAGCTCCATCCAATGTCTGGTCAATCAAACTATGAGTCATCAGCGAACACTGGTGTGTGTGTGTGTGTGTGTGCACGCACGCGTGCAAGTACAGTTCTTAAAGTTCTGACAGGTGGTTATGTGTCTATTAATATCATATATGAATGATAGGGAAGGAAAAATACATATTGGCTAGCTCTCCACAGAAATATTATACCATAGACTTCATTACATCATTACATTACAATCAGTCACAACATTACATTGTTAAGATATACTTTGATTATAATCAAATACTATAACAATTTGAAATAAATGGAAAAAATTTTTTGTAAAGTACAATCTAGCTAAAATCCATGAATTCCTGCAGACACAAGTTTGATTTACAATGCAAATAACATCTTTTCATCGCCCTGTAATGCTTAAAATGCTATTCAAAATGACTGTGTTTGATGACTCCACTAAGACCCTCACAAAGCAGTTCATATTTATTCATGCCCATTCCTGCCTCGGCTCCTGTTAATTTGTGTGTGTGTGTGTGTGTGTGTGTGTGTGTGTGTGTGTGTGTGTGTGTGTGT